CCCTAGAGCCTGAGTATCAGTGGCAGGATGTCATGTGCAATGAAGTTTTTTAGCACCTTTGTCCCTGTGCTTAAACTCAGTCATGCTTATCCCAGAGGCCTAACTTACACGTTTCTAACTCTACTTGCTCTGTAAACATTTCCCACAAAGCATGAAGCCACAAGGCATGAGCCTCAAGCACCAAAAACTTAAGAAGTGAAGGGAAGTGAGGAGAGGTGCAAACCACGTGGGGACTTCAGGCTGAAAAAGGCTTTAACTCTCATAAAACAAAACACCACACCCAGACAGCGAGATCACGGTGTGTTGATCTCAGAGAACCACGCAGTCTGGATCCCAGCATTTGTTAGAGGTGGCCAATCCCAGGCAGGAGGCAACTGTGGATGATGATTCTCAACTGAGGCAATATTGGAGTCATTGAAGCAGAACCATTTTCCGTCCACAGGCATTCCGGATGTAGGCACAGTAATGACTGGAGTCCACCATTCCCACATGTGTAATTACAGTGAAGAGCTCATACTGCCCTCCAGGCTGGAAAGAGGGACAGGCATGAGACAGTTCACTTGCCACCACAAATATAACTGCATCACACATTTATACCTGCCCACCCCAGCCCTGATTATGGAACTTCAGAATACTAGACAACAGTCCCACCCCATGGACCCACATGCATCCTCTGGTAGGGGCTTTCCTGAGCATGGATCCTGAACTGCAAAGGCTCAGCAGCTTGACAGAGCAGAGCACACTGGAGATGGAAGGCAGGAGGTCATGAGACAGCCCCCAAGGCCAGGCAAGATTAGAACCTTCCCCTGGGAGGGGTGGGGGTCATCAGAACATAGTTCTGTTTCTCCACAAGCTCAGGAATGCCCTAACCTGAGCCAATGTTCACAGCCAAAAGTGTCCTTTGTAGGGGGAGGGAAGACAGAAGGCAAGAGCGGCACATGCAAAGCTGAGTCACCCACCACTGCAGGCTCCAGTTATTCCCTACTTCTATTTGCGGACCTTGTGGTGGGACTTCATAAAATGCAGGGCAATATCTGTACCTAACCATTAGTTTACAAGGAATAAAGGGTTAGAGAAACATGCTGAATGACACCAGCCAGCCAGTTCTCGCATATTAAAAAAATCTTCAACCAAATCAAACTGCAAGGAAAATAAAGGCAACAGAAATCTAAAAGGAACTTAAGAAAAGAGAGAAACTAACCAAATGCAAGTGTAGGCATTGCTTGGATCTAGATCCAAAAAACTACATAGATTAAAGAACAGTAGAGAAGTCTGCATGTTTACCAGTTATTGATGCTATCGAGGAATGACAAGATGGAGCTGGTTCTGTTTTGAGTGCTTATTCTTTAGGGATGCATAACGAAGTGTTTACCAATGACGTAGGATGGTGTCTGAGATTTCTTCAAAAAAATCCAGTACAGGATTGGATGAAACAAGATCCAGAAGATTATAGGAAGAGCAAGACCTGCCATGAGTTTGTAATGGTTTACAGCTGATGATTCACTGTCTAATTCTTCACTATACACCTTGGTATATATTTGCAATGTTCCGTAACAAAGTCTTTGTTGTTGTTGCAAAGACAGAGTCTCGCATTGTCCAGCTGGGCTCAAAACTATTGGACTCAAGCAATCCTTTTAGCCTCTCAAAGAGCTAGGATTACAGGCGTGACCCATGGCACTCAGCCAAGAGAGTCCTTTTTAAGGAAAAAAAAAAAATAAAAAAAAAAAAAACAGTTTTTAAATATACTTCATCAGGCAGAATGTGCAGGTAGAAATATAAAGAATTAGAAGGCTGTCTCTGAAAAAGAACATCCTATGAAATGTACACAGCCTAAGTAGGTAAAGAAACCATGTTATAATGGGAGCCATCTCAGGCCTTACTTTTCTAAATGCCATGGTTCTAGAGAAAAAATTAGCCAAACAGACTATAAAAACAGAAGAGACACTCCAAAAGTAGACCCGCACATATAGGAATACAAATTTTGCTGTGTAGCATGTCAAATCTATGAAGAAAAGGTATCTGCATCTTTTTTTCTTTCATTTTTCCTGTTTTATTTTTAGAGACAGGATCTTGTGCTGTCACCCAGGCTGGAGTACAGTGACAGATCATCACTCACTGCAGCCTCAAACTCCTGGGATCAATTTTCCTACCTAGGCCTCCAATGTAGCTGGGACTACAGAGTTTGCTACCACACCCAGCTATTTTTTTTTTGAGATGGAGTCTCACTTTTCCTGTTTTATTTTTAGAGACAGGATCTTGTGCTGTCACCCAGGCTGGAGTACAGTGACAGATCATCACTCACTGCCTCAAACTCCTGGGATCAATTTTCCTACCTAGGCCTCCAATGTAGCTGGGACTACAGAGGTTTGCTACCACACCCAGCTATTTTTTTTTTGAGATGGAGTCTCACTCTGTAGTTCAGGCTGGAGTGCAATGGTGTGATCTTGGCTCACTGCCACCTCCACCTCTGAGGTCCTGGTTCAAGCAATTCTCCTACCTCAGCCTCCCAAGTAGCTGGAATTACAGGCATGAGCCACCATGCCCAGCTAAATTTTGTATTTTTTAGTAGAGATGGGGTTTCACCATGTTGGCCAGTCTCTTCTTCAACTTCTGACCTCATGATCTGCCTGCCTCTGCCTCCCAAAGTACTCAGATTTCAGAGATGTGGGTCTCACTATGTTGCCCAGGCAGGTCTTGAACTCCTGGGCTCAAGTGATCCTCCTGCCTCAGCATTTTCAAGTGCTGGGATTACAGGCATGAGCCACATCACCTGGCCTGTGTCATTTTTTCTCAGAATCTCTCTCAATAGGTTGTCTCAGGACAAGTGATTTAAACTTTACTCTGATTAAATGTGGTCCAGTCAACTGGCTACTTATGATTATCATCAAGCAGGCACGGGCCATTTGAGAAAGAAAGTTTGGTTGGTACTAAGAACCCACAGTGACATGTTTGCCTATGCATTTCTATGTATTCCACATGTTATTTCCAAAGGAGCCTATTGAATTCTGGATTCTGTCCCTCAGTGCTGTGAGGCATATGAACACAAATCCAATATTTAGAAAGAAGAAAGTCAGGCAGGATGGCACGGTCGGAAGCATCCCACCTGCTCCTCAGCATCACAGAGCTCTCACTCCACTGGAAGCACCTGGATGAAATCCAGGCTCTGGGGGAAGTACAGGGCGTGGCAGATCTTTCTCACCTGTGAATTCCTGATGGGGAATGGCATGAGGTGGATTGTCAGGGTCTGAGGCAAATGGGTCAGCTTCAAGACCTGAAAAAGCAAATCACTCTGGATATAAAGTCCCACTTGGAATGGGAGTAAACGAAATGTCTGGACTAATGGTACCCTCTTCCAAAAAAAGAGGGAAGCAGGGTGACATCACAGAGTTCAAGGCTCTCGTTCACTGAATCTGCTGAGCTACTCTGAGAATAATGCAAAATGTGGGTATTCTACCACCACCGGGTCCCCACAAGAGGCACAAGGGCACAGGGCTCTGCACAGGCACCAGGACCCAGGGAGCCATGGTGTCTGCTCCAAGGAGCTCAGCTCACCCAAAGGGAAATGCCCTGCTGGCTGCTCTCAGGCCTTCTCCTCTGGTCCCTCTCAGTTATGTGACCTGAGAAGCCACATCCATGGCTCTAGAGATCAGAACTCCACGATCCCAGATCCTAGCCAGACCCAGATTCCCATTCTCACCCACCACAAAGTCCCCTCGGGGCCTCTGATGATTCTATCAGGAAATCCACAAAAGGAAACCCCAGACTAGTGAAGGACAGTTGATCCCTGAACAGCACAGGTTTGGACTGTGTGGGTCCACTTAATACACAAATTGTTTTAAATAAATACAGTCTTCCCTCCGCCATAAGCATGAGTTCCACATCTGCAACCAAACACTCATTAAAAATACAGTATCCCAGATGCACAACCGCATAGATGAGGGACGGACTTTTCCTATATGTGGGTTCTGCAGGGCCGACTGGGGACTTGAGTATGTGCAGATTTTAGTAAATTCAGGGGTCCAGAACCAATCCCCTGTGTGCACCGAGGGACAGCTGAGTCCAGTTTAGGGAATGAGTACCTGTTTCCCATGTGTCTTCTTCCTGCAGTTCTCACAGAAGCACTTACTTTTGCTTGAAAACTCCCTGGGCTGGAAGAAGCAGTGCAGGGCGTCCTCCTGCCCCACCCAAGAGAAAAGGGAAAAGGCAGCATTGGCATTTCCCACCTAGAGTACTGTATTCATCTGTTCTCACACCGCTGTCAGAAAATAGCTGAGACTGCATAATTTATAAGAAAAGAGGTTTCATTGGCTCAATGGTTCTGCAGGCTGACAGGAAGCATGGTGGCATCTGTTTCTGGGGAGGGCACAGAGAACTCCCAATCATGGCAGAAGGCCAAATGATAGGCATCTTACATAGGAGGGGCAGGTGCAAGAGAGCAAGTGGGGAGCTGGAATGAAGTGGCATGATCTTGGCTCACTGCAACCTCCGCCTCCCAGTTTGAAGCGATTCTCCTGACTCAACCTTCTGAATAGCTGGGATTACAGTCTGCACCATCATGCTAAATTTTTGTTTTAGTAGAGATAGGATTTTATCATTTTGGCCAGGCTGGTTTTGAACTGCTGACCTCAGGTGATCCACTCACCTTGGCCTTCCAAATTGCTGGGATTACAGGTGAGCTATGGCACACTTTGCCTGGCTGCATACTTTTAAACAACGAGATCTCATGAGAAATCACTCGCTGTCACAGAGACAGTACCATGGGGGATGGTGGCAAACCATTCATGAGAAACCCTCCCCCATGATCCCATCTCCTCCCACCAGACCCTACTGCCAACATTGGGGATTACAACTGAACACGAGATTTTTGGGCAGGGACACAGACCAACAGTGTATCAGGGATGGCCTTCCCACACTTTGCAGCTGAGGGTTTCAGCTTTTCTTCTGGTTCTCTTCATATCCCCCTTAATGCCTGGCCTGGTGTGGTCCACTGGCAGGATCTCAAAGGTCACCTACTGACTGGAGGAATGAAACGGGAGGGGGTTCCTGTTACGGAACCAGTATGAGGAAAAAAGAGGTCGGAGGGAAAAAGATTTTTGCCAAAACAAAGGAGAACTCAGCCAGAATCATGAAAATGAAATAAGAAACTTCTCAGAAGCCAGGGCTAGATCCAAGAGGCAAGGGGGAATTGGCAACACTGTGCTGGGTGGTGATGTGGCTTGAGTGTTTGTCCTCCCAAAAGGTTGAAACCGACTCCCCAGTGTGGCTGTATGAAAGGTGGGGTCTTTTAGAGATGATTGGGGAGGGCATGGTGGCTCATGCCTGTAACCCCAGCGCTTTGGGAGGCTGAGGCAGGCAGATCACTTAAGTCAGGAGTTTGAGACCAGTCTAGCCAACATGATAAAACCCTATCATGTTGGTATCATAGTGACACCTATCATGGGGAAACCCCAGCCCTTCTAAAAATACAAAACTTAGCAGGGTGTGGTGGCGGCACTGGTAATCCCAGGTACTCAGGAGGCCAAGGCAGAAGAATCACTTGAATATGGGAGATAGAGATTACAGGGAGCCAAGATCGCATCATACCACTCCAGCCTGGGTGACAGAGGAAGACTCTGTCTTCAGAGAAAGGGGGGTGGTCATTGAATCATGAGGGCACAGCCCACATGAATGAATTAATCCACTCATGGATTAATGGGTTTTCCTGGGAGTGGGACAGGTGGCTTCACAGGAAGAGGAAGAGAGACTTGAGCTGGCACATAAGCATGCTTGCTCCCTTGCCATGTGATGCCCTGCACTGACTTGCCTTGAGACTCACTCAGAGTCCTCACCAGCAAGCAGGCCCTCACTAGGTGAAGCCCCTCTACCTTGACTTCCCAGCCTCCAGAACTGTAAGAAATACATTACCTACTCTCAGATATTGTGTTGTGTCAACAGAAAATGGACTAACATGTATGGGAGCAGCAAATACCAAGAGACTCTCCTTACCAATGTCTTCAGGGGCTTTGAGTCCACACTGAAAACAAAACTAGGAGGGTCAGCATGCTGCTGTTTCTCCTACTCTCCATGGCACAGTCAAGGTAAATCAAGGAGTCCTTCATCCAGATCACATATAGGGCCTGCAGCCTCCCCATCTGCAGGAGGTAGCAGCGGAGAGGTGAGATGGAAACACCACCATAAGCCAGGTCAGGCCAACTGCCAGAAGTTGGAGCCAAGAGACAGAATCTCCAGAAATGGTAACCACTAATGCTCTTTGTCCCACTCATGAGTTAAATCATCAGCATCTTACACTTTCAAGTGCTCTTACCAAGTGCCTCTGGTCCTTAATTAGGTTCCAGATTTTGAGGTAGAGTTGGGCAGCACCATGCTGGACAAATACTGGCAAAAGAGAAAAGGAACAGCCAATTAGTGAGGTCCCAGGGTCACTTCTCATGCCCTGGTACCTAGATGCACACAAACACTCACCACTTTGTCTCTTCCTGGCCTCCCGCCCCACTGAAAGGCTAAGTTGGCACTACATATGAAGTGATCAATAAACAAACAGTAAGTTTGGTATTGATTTTAGAGAACACCTTTTTTTTTTTTGAGAGTCTCACTCTGTCCAGGCTGGAGTACAGTGGCACAATCTCAGCTTGCTGCAAACTTCTCCCCCGGGTTCAAGTGATTCTCCTTTCTCAGCCACCTGAGTAGCTGAGATTACAGGTGCCTGTCACCATGCCTGGCAAATTTTGTGTTTTTAGTAGAGACGGGGTTTCAACATCTTGGCCAGGCTGGTCTTGAACTCCTGACCTCTTGATCCACCCCTGTCAGAGTGCTGGGATTACAGGCATGAGCCACCATGCCTGGCCGAGAACACTTCTTAAAACTTAAGCTCCAGTGCCAGGTGTAGTGGCTCATACCTATAATCCCAGCACTTTGGTAGGCCAAGGTGGGAGAATCGCTTGAACCCAGGAGTTTGAGACCAGCCTGGGCAACATAAGACTCCGTCTCTATAACAAATTTAAAAAATTCATTGAGCGTGGTGGTGCACACCTGTAGTCGGAGCTACTTGGGAGGCTGAGGCAGAGGCAGGAGGATCACTTGAGCCCAGGCTGTTGAGGCTACAGTGAGCTGTGCTTACACCACTGCACTCGGCCTGGGGAATGAGATGTTCACAGGGGACTTTGAACAGCACTGATGTATTCCTGAGGATCTAGAAGGCCACGCACATGCCCAAGATCTAAGAGGGCTGAATTCTTCCCCTCTGGCTGATCACAAGGCCATGTACAAGAAAGCAATGACAGTGAACACAGAATTATAAACTGTGTGCACTTTGAAATTGTGCCCTAACAAACACACAGAGCCCCTTCACAAATATTGGAAGACTCACCGATTCAGGCATTTAAGGAAATCTCTGACCGCTTATTATCTGAACAGTAAGATAAAAGGGAGAGGTCAGTGGCCAGGCAATACATGGAATATAGACATCACAGAATTAGCTCAGGAAGTTGTCACTGAACAATGATCAACAACAAGAACAATAACAACAAAACAGCAACAACAACAAACCCTGGTGTGGGGGTCTCTGGTGTCCAGTGTTGCCACCTTACGTTATCTATAATGTTCATTTTCCAACAGAGAGACAAGACATACAATGGAAACAGAAAAGTGTGGCCACACACAGGAAAACAGCAGTCAGTAGAACTTTTCACCTAGAAGCCCTAGGTGCTGGCCTTACTAAACAAAGACTTTAGCTGTTATAATATGTTCAAAGAACTAAGAAAAAACCATGTCAAAAGAAGTAAAAGTAAGAAAATGCTGTCTCGCCACGAAGAGTATCAATAAAGAAAAAAACCATAGAAAAAGAACCAAGCAGAAATTCTTGAGTTGAGGAGTACCATAATGGAAATGAAAAATTTACCAGAGGAAGTCAACAGCAGATTAGAGCTGGTAAAAGAAAGAATCCATAGACTTGGAAATTGGTTGAGTGTGGTTATCCAGACTGAAGATGGAAGGAAAACTGAACGTAGTGTCCATGCAGCCAAAAAGCTGGTTAGCTGCTCACCACAAGTAGAATTCAACTAACTCTGATACAAAAACAAGTGTAATACAAAAGAAGGTTTTATACAAAAACATGAATTATTCTGAAGCCAGCTTGGGGACAGAGTATGATGTATCCTGCCTTTTTCATGTGCCATTTCTCCTTTGGAGGAGAAAGGGGCATTTTCATAAGGTGTGTTGTGGGGGTAGGGGGAGTGAGCAATGGTAGTTGTCTCCCAGGCAGTTACCTTGTACCTGGAAGCTGAGTTGCCACCTTTCTGGGCAGAAGTAAGCTGTCAAAGTGGCCAAGTGAGTGTGCTTTCTCCATGTGTTCCTAGTGGGTGAAAGGCTAACCCCTGAAGGGGTTTCAAAACCACCCCATGGCAGGGAGAGCTCCCTGGTGGGTATGCTTTGGGCTGCAAATCTACTGCCAAGTCTCAGGAAAGATGAGCTGAAAGAACGTGCCCTGTTCTCAATCAAACCTCAATCAACCTATCTCTAAGTTTACAGATTCATTATTTTTCCCTGCAGGGACTGTCTGGTGAGGGAGAGGTAAAGGGTGATTTTTGCATTTCTAAAGGGCTAACAGAAAAGGGGGAAACATGGGGGTTGGGGGTTGGGAGGGAAGGGGAGAAGTGAAAAGGAAATAACATAAGAAAAATAAACTATCTCTAAGAAAATGGGAGTACTCAGTTATACCCAGATGGGTTCCCTAGTGAATGATGGGTTCTACCAAACATTTATGGGAAAATTATACCAATTCCCTACAATCTCTTCCAGAAGACAAAAGCAGAGAGAACACTTACTAATTCTCTGAGGCCAGCATTATCCTAATACCAAGACCAGACAGACATTTTAAGAAAAAAACCTAGAAACCAGTATCTCTCGTGAACATAAATGCAAAATTCCTCAACAAAATATTAGTGAATCAAATTCAATAAAAAGAATCACAGAGTGACATAAGTGAGATGATAGAAAAGGGGGATCCTGGTGCTCTCCTCTCCCGTGGACACTTGGAAAAACTCCCATCTACACACAGATCAACTTCTGAAAGAAAGAAACCCAGAAACTAGCTGAGAGAGTCCTGCACATGGGACAATGGAGAAAACATCCACATCAAAATGGGTTGAAAAAGCTCAGACACACTCACACCGCAAGCCCCACCTTAGACCCAGTACCTTGCTTTGAGGAAGGAATCCCTACTCCTGACTTTCTCCTGAAGAATGAAGGGTTTAGACCACACACAGACAGCCCCAGCTTTTGCAGTTCAAGGGCTTGGCTGCTAGGTCACCTAGCCCTTGGACATGGGTCAGCAGCCATGAATCCTCTGCGATAACAGAAGGCAAAGAGGCAGTTTTAAATGGGCATGTGAGCATTTCCAGCAGCTGTGCCCCTGTGCTCAGCACAGAGCAAACATGCAGAAATATCAGGCTCCCAATTTCTCCCTGGAAGGGTATGTGTGCAGGCTCTCCTAGCTGTTGCCCGAGGTGAGGGATGGGCTTCTATTAATAACTAGTCAGCACCTGGAGCCAACCAGGCAGGTAAACAATAGATTTCCAGGAGTCTGGTCAGGCATGTGGGCAAGTCCCATGCCTTCTCCCACCCCCTACCCCAGGATAAAATCAGGTCTCTAACATCACACATTGAGTACACAACATTTAGCTCTCTCGAATGAAGGACTAGCTCCTCAATCACTGAGCTTTGGGAGCTGATGAGGCTCTGTATTTGTCAGTCCCACAAGCCCACAGGTATCAAAGAACAGGTGTGAGATGCGCATGTAAGCACTTCCAGTGCGCTAACCCCCAGGCCCACTGAGAGCAGTGTGAATAGGCAGAAATGCCCGGCTCTCACTTTCTTCTTAGAAGGTGTCTGTCTGCACATGTGCAGCTGCTGCCCTGGGGCTGCCATGCATCTGGGAGCTGACAGAGCAGGAAACCAGTACTCCTCTGAGACCCTGAACAGGTAGGTGAGCACTTCCACAGCTGCTCTCACTGGTTTGCTCCACAGATAGCGCCAAGCTTCCAACTAACCTGTCCATCTCTAAGCAGACAGGAGCCAGCATTCACTAGGCCCCTGGGGTGACAAAGAGGCAAGCAATGCATCAAGGGTGTGTGCAGTTTAAACAGGGAGTGCAGGCACTTGCCACAGATCCTCTGTCCAGCTTATTGCAGAGCCAGTGAAGGATAAACTCATGCTCCCAGCTTTTCCCTAAGGATAGAATAAACTGGAAATGCCCCAACATCTCCAGCTGCACCTCAAGGGGCTGGCTTCTATCTCCCCTGTCTGGGTAACTGACTGACAGGACTTGACACATTCTAATCTCCTGAGGGCTGCTAAGGGCATAGATGGCAGTTTGGGCAAGCACAGGTCAAGAGGTGCTCCAAGTCTCTGGCAGGGCTACTTGGCAAGTTCATCTCCTCTACAAGGCCAGTGGGACAAGACTGTGAAAGGTATTTTTCTTATCTAATGTACAGAAAATAACAGAATCTGGAACAATGAAGAAACAGAGAAATATGTTCCAAGCAAAAGAACAAGATAAATCTCCAGAAAATGCCCCAGTGAAATGAAGATAAGTGACTTACCTAATGACTACTCAAAATAATGATCATGAATATGTTTACCATGTCTAGGAGAGCAAACTATGAATAAAGTAAGAATTTCAGCAAAGAGATAGAAAAAGGTTCAAAGTATCAAACAAATAATAGAGCTGAAGAATACGATAACTGAAATAAGAGTTCACAAAAGAAGCTCAACAGACTAAATCAAGCAGAAGAAAGGATTAGCAAACTAGAAGATAGGTCTGGAAATCATTCGAGAAGCAAAAATAAAAATGAATGAAAAGGAGTGCAGATGCTGAACCCAGTGGTTCAGGCCTGTAATCCCAGCACTTTGGGAGGCTGAGGCATGTGGATCACAAGGTCAGGAATTTGAGACTCACCTGATCAACATGGTGAAACCCTGGCTCTACTAAAAATACAAAATTAGCTGGGCATAGTGGTGCACACCTATAATCCCAGCTACTCAGGAGGCAGAGGCAGGAGAATTGTCTGAATCTGGGAGGCAGAGGTTGCAGTGAGCCAAGATCATGCCACTGCACTCCAGCCTGGGTGACAGAGTGAGACTTTGTTTCAAAAAAGAAAAAGAGTGAAGATATCTAAACAGAGTTGTGGGACAGAAAGCAGACCAAAATAGGCATTATCAGAGTGCCAGAAGGAGGAGAGTGAGAAAAGACAGAAACTTTATCCAAAGAAATAACAGTCATGCGTGGCAGATTGACATTTCAGTCAATGGCACCAAATAAGCACAATGGCCATAGCATATAGCCTAGGTGTTTAGCAGGCTTCCCCATCTAGGTTTGTGAAGTCTGCTCCATGATGTTCACGCAATGACAAAATCACTTACTGATGCATTTTTCAGAACATATCTCTGATGTTAAGCAACACATAGCTGTAATGACAGAAAACTTCCCAAACCAGGGACAAAATAGAAATCTGCATCCAGGAAGCCCAAAGGACACCATAAGACAACCCACACCAAGCCACATCATAATTGATTTAAAAAGTTAAAGACAAAGGATTCTGAAAGCAGCATGAGAAAAGCAGTGTGTTATACACAACAGAAAACCTGTAAGTATGGGATTTCTTTTGGGAGTGATGAAAATACTATGAACTTAGATTGTGATGAGGGCACATCTCTGTGAATACACTACAAACCTCTGAATTGTATGTTTTTAAATGGATGAATTTTACAGTATGTGATGCACATCTCAATATTGCTGTCTTAAAAAAACCTAACCTTTTATGAATTATTTTGTAGAACATGTTTTGTTTTTTATTCCTTTATTCTGTTTTCCTGCAGTTCCTTAACTGTGGCTGAATAAGCTTGGAGGATAAGCCTTTGCTTACGCTACTGAGAAGCAGAAAAAGGGCGGTATGGAAGTAAAATGTCCATAAATAATATCAATTCTGCACCTCCAAAAATGTGTGTCTCTTACACAAATGTCTCTATAATCTGAGAGTTCCAGGCTACCTAACTTGTTTCTTGTTGCTTCCCTGGCTGTTAGTTCCTCTCTTCACTCTGCCTTTAAGCTTCCCACCCCCTTGGAATCAGCAGGCAGGAGCCCAGCAGGATGGCATCTTACCAGCATGCTGTACTTCTGCAGGAAGTAGGCCAGCTCCAGGGGCTGCACTGCATTCTGCCAGTGGTCCTCCATCTTCACCTGCAGAAGAAGCAGCTGGAAAGGGACACTTCTCCTCTGCTTGTCAGCTCCCTTGGGAACCATGGTCCTGCCACAAAAGAATGGATGGAAACTTCCTTACGTGTAGTTTTTGAAGTTAAGTGTACACTGTAATCACTTGGAAAAAAATTTAAATCTCCATATCCAGGCCACGCCCATACAAATTACACCAGAATTCTGGAGGGTGGGGCCCAGTTATCAGAATGTTTTATTTCCCCAGATTATTTCAATGTGTGGCCAAGGTTGAGAAGCACCACATGAGTAAATCTGCTGTACAGGAGACCCTCTAGAGAGGGACATCAGCATGACTGTTGCCTCAGCCCCTCTACACTCTGCCCAGCAGTCATGTGAGAGCAGAGGGCAGGTGCATGAGGAGGTCCTGGCTCCACATCTCAGGCAAGCAGCAAACGTCCAGCCTAAAGCTCTCCAAACTGCAGAGGCACAAGCTGGGTTAAGCCCCAGGAAGAAAGGGCAACACGAAGGGCTTTCCTTGTGGTTTGGCAATGATTCATTTAATTACAGGCACTACCTGGATGAGAAAAAGGAGAGAGCACAGGGCCAGGAAAGGAGTGATAAAGACAGAAAGAAAGAGAGAGAGAGAGAGAGAGAGAGAGAGAGAAAGAGAGAGAGAGAGCGCACATTGTGTGAGTGTTGGGGGAAGGGAAGTGTGTACTGTCCACTGACTCCTTCCCAACATCAGTCTAGTTCCAACTGTCTCTTTAACCAAGTCAGTGGCCATCAATCCTGGCTGCACTTTAAAGTCACCCAAGGAGTGCTTTTAAAAAGTATCAATACCTGGGCCCCACCCTATACCAACCTAAGAAGTTTCAGAAATAATGTGTAATCCAGAATATGCAGAAACAGGACTTCTCTCTGCCAACTTTTGAGAGAACATCTCAAAAAGTTCAAGTCACTGTGAATAACTGAATATATTAAAAATGAAATAATACACATGCTTATCAGCCTGAAGAAGAGGCTTACCTCTTCAATATCCTGGTGAAGTCCACGTTCATTACAAACCTGAATTAAAGAGTTAAGGCAGCAGGTCTGTCCAACGTTGTGTACCAACCAGGCCTATAAGGGGAAGAGAAAAAAATACTGAGGGCAAGGCCTAGGTAAAGAATTTGAAACTGCTGGGTGTGGTGGCTCATGCCTGTAACCCCAGCACTCTGGGAGGCTGAGGCAGGTGGGTCACCTGAGGTCAGGAGTTGGAGACCAGCCTGGTCCACATGGCAAAAGCCCTGTCTCTACTAAAAATACAAAAAAAATCAGCTGGGCATCATGGGAGGTGCCTATAATACCAGCTACTTGGGAGGCTGAGGCAGAAGAATTGCTTGAATCTGGCAGGCGGAGGTTCCAGTGAGCCACGATTGCACTGCTGTACTCCAGCCTGGACAAGAACGGAACTCTGTCTTAAAAAACAAGAAGTTAACAAAAATAAAATGATTTCTTAAATCTACCAAAGACATCAAACCCTATAAAGTTCTCTGAGTGGTACAAAGTGTTCACTCAAGAGATTGCAAACAAACTGGAGAGAAGATATCAAGCATGAAACTTTAAAAAAAGTTTGATAACATGGGCCAGGCACAGTGGCTCACACCTGTAATGCCAACACTGGGAGGCCGAGGCAGGTGGATCACCTGAGGTCAGGGGTTAGAGAACAGGCTGGCCAACATGGTGAAACTCCGTCTCTACAAAAATTGGCTGAGTGTAGTAATGTGTGCCTGTAATCCCATCTACTTGGGAGGCTGAGGCAGGAGAATTGCTTGAACCTGGCAGGTGGAGGTTACAGTGAGCCAAGATCATGCCACTGCACTCCAGCCTGGGCCACACAGCAAAACTCCATCAAAAGGAAAGGAAGAGAAGGAAGGAAGGAAGGAATGAAGAAAGGAGGGAGGGAGGGAAGGAAGGAAGGAAAAAAAGAAGGAAGGAAGGAAAAAAGGAAGGAAGGAGGGAGGGAAGGAAAAAATAAAGGAGGGAAAAAAAGAAAGTGGGAGAGAAAAAAAGTTCAATAAAAAGAGTTTTTAAAAAGTTCGACAAAAGAAGTTTTAATAGTCCATTAGGAAAAAATGAGATGTCGCCAAAAATGTAAATTATTCACTGCCAAATGAGTAGTACAAGCAATTGTTGGGGAAGAAAAAGAAACATTAGAGAAAACATAACTGAGAATTATGGGTTCCTCTCATTCAAAGTATTCTACATGGAGCTGAGTCCAAATGTGCATCTGTGGGTCTCAGTGGACGAGAGGAACTCCCCAGTTTGTCTATGTCCAATGCCACGGGAGAGGTCTCTGCCCAGTACCCACCACAGGGAGGCAGGAGATTAGAAGGCAGGTTTGGGGAAGATTCATCTAACACAATCTCACCCTGAGAGGCTGAAAGTCAGAAGGAACTTACAAAAATAGGAGAAAAACAAAAGGCATCTCTCTGAAGCCTAGCACCCAGCCTCCTCTCTTCCAACCCAACCTTAGGCTCCGCAGACCCCACAAGGTGGGCAATTTAAGAGGGAGGAAGTAGCAGTAAAGTCAGAATTTTTGAGGAAAGGGCTTTGCTTATGAGATATGGCAATGAAAAAGAAAAAATTTGGGTTTGCAGGTGAGCACAGATTTCTGCTCCCAGATCATCAGGAGCATGTTGTCTCCAGACAGACTGGTACAAAGGTACCTCAGCAGTAAATATGGGAGCTAAGGCTAACTGTCACTAGACACCCAGCACTGGCTTAAAACAGTTTCCACAGATCACCCCATTTAATCCTCCCAACAACCCCCTGTTTCGTACTGTTATTATCCCCATTTTGTATTTGTTTTTTAGAAATAAGATTTTCCTAAAGCCCAGGCTGCATCCTGATATGAAAGATGCAGAAATTCAGGCACAAGAAAGCAGGTGCCATCAGCCACAAAGCTCTGCTGCTTCAGAGCTCAGGGGGTGAGGCAAGCATTGACATGCAGTCAGGAAGAGAAAAATGGGACGGGCTAATGACATGAGGGTAGTCCAGGCCCCAGGATGCTCTCTGGGCTGCTTCTCTTCCTCTTCATGTTGCTGTCTGCTTCCTTCTTTCTGACAAGATCTGCTGGCGACTGTGGAGACTCAGCCAGGACTGACTGACAAGTTCGTCTCAGGAGCCCAATAGCCTTGACCATTTGTGATCAATCCAAAACCCCAAAGCCTGACTGCCAGGCCCATGTTGGGAATAGCACGACCTCACTTCCAGGAAGAGCTCATGTGAGTGAGCCAGGCACGATGGGATCTCTGTGAAAATACAATGCGGGTAGGTAAGGATTCGAGAAGGGGGGATGTGTATTCATGTAATCTGTTCTGATGCCAAAGAGCAGGAGATACCTGGGGAGATGCCTCATAGAGACCTAGGTTGGGACCCTACCCTGGGTCCCACACATATCCATTCTTCCTCAAAATGGACTGCCAAATCCTAACCCGTAACACCCTCTTGGGGAAGGACAGGGAAGCTCGCATAAGACTTTGCTTTGCAACCCAGGATCAGGCCCACTTCAGAAAAAGCCAGCATTGAGCAGAGACCCTCAGCCCCTCATGCCAGGCTGGTACCCCCAGAGGCCCAGAGGAAGCCTCTCAACCCACCCCACACTGGAAGGGAACCTAGGGCCCTGGTAGGACAGACTTGTGTTCTGGCTGCATCACCGCCAGCCGGCTGCAGCAATCACAGGCCTCAGATAAATCTCAGCTGCAGGCAGGCTGTAGCACCCTCAGGCCCTAGGCGCATCCTGGTGCTGGGCTGGTCTCACGGCAGTGAACTGAGTGTGATCCAATATTGTGTCAGCCTTAGTGGCCACAGGGTTATGCTTGCACCCCTCCCCCAACCCCAGCACAGCAGCATGAAGAGAGACACTGTTTGCTTGAGGGAAAAAGAGAGGTAAGTGGAGGACTTTGCCTGGGAACTCAGTGCTAGGTTCACAACAGTAAAGCCCAGTACTGGGCAGAGCTGCATCTCCCAGATACTAGACCAGTACCCACAGGCAGATCTTATCACCCTAGTGCCAGATGAGAACACACAGCCCCAGAGACAAAGACTTGGGATCTGGCCCACATCACCACAGTGACCTTGGGCCCTGAATAAATCTCAGCAGCAGTAGGCAAGCCATCACAGCCATGAGTCTTGGGCATGCCCAGTGCTGTGCTTCAGGTGTGACCCAGGGCTGTGTCAGTCTCAGCAGCCAAAGAATTCCAACCGCAGTGATCCTGGGCTTAGGGCATGCCCTAGCACTACAACAGCTGATGCAGTCATGGGCTTAGGGTCCTGACCAATCAGCCTCTCCTTAATCTGGCATAGGTTTACTGATGAAAGAAGAGCCCAAACAAAGCCAGACGATGAAGACTGGCTTTGGTACCTATGTCAATGCACAGACATTGGCACACAGCCATAAGGATCAAGATCAAAAAGAGAAACATGACATCACTAAATGAAAAATTTAAGGTGCTAGTGACTAACCCTAGAGATACAGAGATGAGGCCTCGCATTTTGGCTCACTCCAGACCAGTCTAGGCAACATAGTGAGACCCCATTCTCCACAAACATAAAAATAAAAAAACTTGACTTGGCCGGGTGCGGTGGCTCATGCCTGTAATCCCAGCACTTTAGGAGGCTGAGGCAGGTGGATCACAAGGTCAAGAGATCAAGACCATCCTGGTCAACATGGTGAAACCCCGTCTCTACTAAAAATACAAAAAATTAGCTGGGCCTGGTGGCACATGCCTGTATCCCAGCTACTCAGGAGGCTGAGGCAGGAGAATTGCCTGAACCCAGGAGGCGGAGGTTGCGGTGAGCCGATATCACACCATTGCACTCCAGCCTGGGTAACAAGAGTGAAACTCCGTCTCAAAGAAAAAATTAAAATTAAAATAAAATAAAAATAAAAAACTTGAGATGAGGCCACTTGAGGCCAGGAGTTTGAGGCTGCAGTGAAGTATAATTGTGCCACTGACTTCAGCCTGGGCAACAGGATTAGACTTTGTATCTAAATAATAAATAAGGTGGAATAAAATAACATAATAACAATGAGTATCATCAAATCACTATTTCTTATAAAAGGTGGAAGCCTTTGCCTTTTATATATACTGTCTTTTTTATCCTTACACAGACGTGTGAATTAATTACTGATATATACCCATTTTACAGATGAGAAACCTGAGATACAAAGAAATGAGTGCCTTTCCCAAGATCAAACAACTGGCAAGTGATGGGCCAGATGTAGACGAAGTTAAGTCTAACTACCATGCTGCTCAAGTGAGAAATCAACTCAGGACCAATTATTGGTGGGAATGTAAACTGGTGAAGCCATTATGCAAAACAGTATGGAGACTCTTTAAAAACCTAAAAATAGCTATATCATCTGATCCAGTAATCCCACTTCGGAATATATATGCAAAGGAAAGGGAATCAGTATGTTGAAGAGATCTTCACCCTCATGCCTATTGTGGCCCTACTCATAATACCTGAGATAGAGAATCAACATAAGTGTCTGTCAAAAGATGAATGGATAAAAAAATGTGGACTATATATATACAATGGAATGTGATTTAGCCATTAAAAGAGAATGAAATCCTGTCCTGTCATTCACATCAACATGGGTGAGCCTGGAATACATTATGTTAGTGAAATAACCTGGGCGCAGAAAGATAAATGCCACATGTTCACACATGTGAAAACTAAAAAAAAACTTATCTCCTAGAAATAGAGAATAGAAAGCCAGCCACAGTGGCTCACACCTATAATCCCAGCACTTTGGTCAGCTGAGGCAGGAGGATAGCTTGAAGCTATGAGTTCAAGACCAGTCTAGGTAACATAGCAAGATCCTGTTTCTAAAAATAAAAATAAAATTAGTCTGGCACGGTGGCATGTACCTGTAGTCCCTGGGACTTGGGACACTGAGGCAGGAGGATCAGTTGATCCCAGGAGTTTGAGGCCACAGTGAATTATGATCATGCCACAGCACTCCAGCCTAGGCAACAGAGCAAGACCGTGTCACGATTTGTTTTTTGAAACCGAGTTTCACTCTTTTTGCCCAGGCTGGAGTGCAAGGGTGTGATCTTAGCTCGCTGCAACCTCTGCCTCCTGGGTTC